GCCAGTTGCCGATAACTTCGGTTACAAAACATGATCATCTCATACAATAAAATATAGCATCACGTCTTGACCATATCACATCACAACATGCCCTGCAAAAACAAGTTAGACGTCCTCTACTTTGTTGTTGCAAATTTTACGTGGCTGCTACGGGCTGAGCAAGAACCGTTCTTACCTACGCATCAAAACCACAACGATAGTTCGTCAAGTTAGTGTTGTTTTAACCTTCGCAAGGACCGGGCGTAGCCACACTCGGTTCAACTAAAGTTGGAGAAACAGACACCCGCTAGTCACCTGTGTGCAAAGCACAGCGGTAAAACCAGTCTCGCGTAAGCGTACGCGTAATGTCGGTCCGGGCCGCTTCATCCAACAATACCACTGAACCAAAGTATGACATGCTGGTAAGCAGTATGACTTGTATCGCCCACAACTCACTTGTGTTCTACTCGTGCACATAACATCAACGCATAAAACCTAGGCTCTGATGCCACTGTTGGGGAACGTAGTAATTTCAAAAATTCCTACGCACACGCAAGATCATGGTGATGCATGGCAACGAGAGGGGAGAGTGTGTCCACGTATCCTTGTAGACCGAAAGCGGAAGCGTTATAACAACGCGGTTGATGTAGTCGTACGTCTTCACGGCCCGACCGATCAAGCACCGAAACTACGGCACCTTCGAGTTCTAGCACACGTTCAGCTCGATGACGATCCCCGGACTCCAATCCAGCAAAGTGTCGGGGAAGAGTTCGGTCAGCACGACAGCGTCGTGACGATCTTGATATTCTACTATCGCAGGGCTTCGCCTAAGCACTGCTACAATATTATCGAGGACTATGGTGGAGGGGGGCACCGCACACGGCTAAGAGATCTCAAGGATCAATTGTTGTTGTGTCTATGGGGTGCCCCCTGCCCCCGTATATAAAGGAGCAAGGGGGAGGCGGCCGGCCTAGGAAAGAGGCGCGCCAAGGGGGGGAGTCCTAGGATTCCTCCTTTCCTTGTTGGAGTAGGAGAGAAGGAAAGAGGAGGAGAGGGAGAAGGAAAAGGGGGCTGCCCCCTTTGTCCAATTCGGACCAGAGGGGGGGCGCGGGCCTCCTTCCTTTTGGCCTCTCTCCTCTATTCCCGTATGGCCCAATAAGGCCCATATACTCCCCGGCGAATTCCCGTAACTCTCCCGTACTCCGAAAAATACTCGAATCACTCAGAACCTTTCCAAACTCCGAATATAGTCGTCCAATATATCGATCTTTACGTCTCGACCATTTCGAGACTCCTCGTCATGTCCCCGATCTCATCCAGGACTCCGAACTCCTTCGGTACATCAAAACTCATAAACTCATAATAAAACTATCATCGAAACCTTAAGCGTGCGGACCCTACAGGTTCGAGAACTATGTAGACATGACCGAGACACGTCTCCAGTCCATAACCAATAGCGGAACCTGGATGCTCATATTGGCTCCTATATATTCTACGAAGATCTTTATCGGTCAAACCGCATAACAACATACGTTGTTCCCTTTGTCATCGGTATGTTACTTGCCCGAGATTCGATCGTCGGTATCCAATACCTAGTTCAATCTCGTTACTGGCAAGTCTCTTTACTCGTTACGTAATACATCATCTCGCAACTAACTCATTAGTTGCAATGCTTGCAAGGCTTAAGTGATGTGCATTACCGAGAGGGCCCAGAGATACCTCTCCGACAATCGGAGTGACAAATCCTAATCTCGAAATACGCCAACCCAACATGTACCTTCGGAGACACCTGTAGAGCTCCTTTATAATCACCCAGTTACGTTGTGACGTTTGGTAGCACACAAAGTGTTCTTCCGGTAAATGGGAGTTGCATAATCTCATAGTCATAGTAACATGTATAAGTCATGAAGAAAGCAATAGCAACATACTAAACGATCAAGTGCTAAGCTAACGGAATGGGTCAAGTCAATCACATCAATCTCCTAATGACGTGATCCCGTTAATCAAATGACAACTCTTTTGTCCATGGCTAGGAAACTTAACCATCTTTGATTCATGAGCTAGTCAAGTAGAGGCATACTAGTGACACTATGTTTGTCTATGTATTCACACATGTATTATGTTTCCGGTTAATACAATTCTAGCATGAATAATAAACATTTATCATGAAATAAGGAAATAAATAATAACTTTATTATTGCCTCTAGGGCATATTTCCTTCATCGTGGTCCTAAGACTGACAGTAGAAAGGGGGGGTAGGTACGGAGAGGCAAGATCTCAGCTATGGTGAAGGTGTACACACGAGATTTACGAGTTCAGCCCCTTCACGGTGGAAGTAACAACCCTACGTCTCGGTGCCCGGGGGCGGTCGATTGGATTATGTGTGTGATATTACAGGGGGTGTGAACCCTTGTGCCAGAGGAGGAGGGTGGCTTATATAGAGTGCGCCAGGACCCTCGGCCACCTCCATTACAAGGGACTTAATGTACATAAAGTAAGGGGCGTTACTGGTAACGTCTGCCTTAAGTGCTATTAATGATCTTAATGACTACGGAGTGAACGCCCGACCGTTACAGTGCTGAGTGACTCGAGGTCTTCAGTAAGGTCGAGTGACTCTCCATATGGTCGAGTGATGGTAGGGAGGAGGACCTCCGAGTGATGTGGCCGTCGAGTGGATTGCACTCGACGTGTACAACCGGGGCTCTCCTGTTGTCTCTTGGTCCCTTTTATCTTCGAGGGTAGTGACCTTGGATAGGGTGTATAGGTCAGCCCTATGACCCTACCCCAAGTCTGTATCCTCATCACTGGCCGCCCCCTCTCTCTCCACTAAGGCCCATCGAGGCCCATTAGTTCCCCCAGGGGTTCCGATAACCCTCCGGCACTCCGGTTTTATCCGAAACTTCTCCGGAACACTTCCGGTGTCCAAATATAGCCGTCCAATATATCAATCTTTTTGACCATTTCGAGACTCCTCGTCATGTCCATGATCTTATCTGGGACTCCGAACAAACTTCGGTCATCAAAAACACATAACTCATAATACATATCGTCATCGAACGTTAAGCGTGCGGACCCTACAGTTTCGAGAACTATGTAGGCATGACCGAGACTCATCTCCGGTCAATAACCAATAGCGAAACCTGGATGTTCATATTGGTTCCTACATATTCTACGAAGATCTTTATCGGTGAAACCGCATAACAATATATGTTGTTCCCTTTGTCATCGGTATGTTACTTGCCCGAGATTCGATCGTCGGTATCATCATACCTAGTTCAATCTCGTTACCGGCAAATCTCTTTACTCGTTTCGTAATACTTCATTCCGCAACTAACTCATTAGTTACAATGCTTGCAAGACTTATAGTGATGAGCATTACCGAGAGGGCCGGAGATACCTCTCTGAAACACGGAGTGACAAATCCTAATCTCGATCTATGCCAACCCAACAAACACCTTCGGAGACACCTGTAGAGCATCTTTATAATCACCCATTTACGTTGTGACGTTTGATAGCACACAAGATGTTCTTCCGGTATTCGGGAGTTGCATAATCTCATAGTCTGAGGAACATGTATAAGTCATGAAGAAAGCAACAACAATGAAACTGAAACGATCATAATGCTAAGCTAACGGATGGGTCTTGTCCATCACATCATTCCCCTAATGATGTGATCCTGCTCATCAAATGACAATGTATGTCTATTGTTAGAAAACATAACCATCTTTGATTAACGAGCTAGTCAAGTAGAGGTATACTAGGGACAATATATTTAGTCTATGTATTCACACATGTACTAAGTTTCCGGTTAATACAATTCTAGCATGAATAATAAACTTTTATCATGAAATAAGGAAATAAATAATAACTTTATTATAGCCTCTAGGGCATATTTCCTTCACTGGATCCGGAGGAGGAGGAGGAGGAGCCGGAGGAGGATGTGAGGGATGTTGGGGACGCGGATCTGCAGGCGGAACAGTAGGCCATCCTCGATTCCCTCCGCTCGGAGTCGGATGTGAAGGCCAGACATCGTCGGCAGCAGGAGATGGAGGCGGAGCATGGCGGCGGAACTCGGCGAGATGCTCGCGGACATGGATGAGAAGGAGGATGAGGAGGAGCCGGATCCCTCCTACGTGCCCGTCCACCCGGTGCCCAGCATCGACGTCGTGGACATCTTTGACGACGAATCATAGCTAGCGTGTAATAGTACGTAGATTTTTTTGCATGATTTATATGGATCTAGGGGATGAAATATGAAAGACTTGATGCATAGGAGCAAATTTAAGACATGACCGGTGAATGTCCGCGGGCATTTGAGGGGTCCAATTTGCAAGTCCGGCCGCGGATGCTCTAAGTGATCGTGGCAACACCGACCATTTAGCCGGCTGTTACTATTAGCCATGCTCTACCCCACACGCGCAGTCCCATACGGCCATAATCCACACCCGTCTACCGCAATGCAATCATAAAAAATTAAAGGCAAGCAGTACAGAGCCACTGACGCATCCATGCACGGTGTTGGATCTCATCTGACCACCGGGATCGACCGTTTGAAACTTTGAATCCATCGCCTGGCCTGGCGTCGCGCAAGCGTAATCGGACAGGAACAAGAGGATAAAAAGGGAAGGGCGTTTGAATCTTTGGGGCTCCGAGCATAAATACGCCGCTGAACTGCAGTCGATGCGCACCGCCCACACACTCAGCAAGCACGTGGGCTCCGATCCGTCGCGGCCCCATTGGCCGGCGACGCTGCCCGCTGTTGGGCGACTCGCAGCGGACGCCTCCTATCTTTCAGCGCGGCAGCTCTCGCTGAAGCACCCCCGTGATTTCAAAATAGCGCTACGGCCTACGGGGCGACCTTGGAAAGTTTCAGTTAAAGCCCACCTCCACTGCCCTGCCTCTTTCTCGGGGTCGGAGTTTTTCAAACACTCCTTCCTGCCTGCCTGCCTACCGTTGGGGCACAGTACAGTGCGGGCTCGACAAGTGTGATCTGCGGGTGGTACGGCGGCGCGGCGGGCGAGATGAGGCTGCTCGGCGCGGCGGACGACGGGAAGATCAACGACGAGGGGATGGCGCTGCGCAAGGCCGAGGAGGCCGGTGAGTTCTCTCCTCCCTTCCCGCCGCGTTCCAGTCATGCCACGCGTTTCGCCTTCCGCCGTTGCGCCGGTGTTTGAGTGGCGCCGAGTTGAGCCGCGGCGGCGGCGCCGGCGAGAGCTGGATTGAGTGCTCCGTTGCGGCATTCGCAGTATTAAGCTGTGTTTACTGCAGTGGTGATTGCTCGTAATTAGTTATGTACTCGGGTTTGCGCTTGATTGAAGTCGAGATGCATTTAGTGCATGCGGTATTCCGTCGGTTTAATCGGGAGAACTAGTTGTAGTAGTAGTACTGCTACACTGCAATCACTCACATGAATTCAGCATCTCAGATTTCCGGTTTCCGTTCGTTCAGCATTCAGAATTCGAAAATAAATCAATCGGGGTATGAAAGCAAGGGAGAGGACAGACCACACGATCGCGTCTGTCTGCACGAATCGCGAGCAAAATTAGTAACCTCCCTGACTCTGATCTGCTGCCGCTACCCTACGCAGCTGCGCGGAGGTGCGAGGCGGCGCGATGGCTGCGGCAGATGGCGCCGGCGGCGGTGGAGGCCCTGCCGGACAGGCCGTCGGAGGAGGAGTTCTGCATGGCGCTGCGCAACGGCCTCATCCTCTGCAAGGTCCTCAACCGCGTCAACCCCGGCGCCATCCCCAAGGTACCTGCTTACATCCATCCCTAACACCCACCATAACCATAACCCGGTCGATTGGGTTAAGGGAGGGACTTCAAATGCCCGGGTGTGCCTGCCATGTGTGAGTGAGATTTCACGGTGCCCGTTGTTGCTTCGGCAGGTCGTTGAGAATCCCGTTGACGCGGTGCAGTGGTCTGATGGGGCGGCGCAGTCCGCGATCCAGTACTTCGAGAACATGAGGAACTTTCTCGTTGCAGTTAGCGAGATGAATCTGTTGGAATTTGAAGCTTCCGACATTGAGAAGGTACGGCCTTGCATTTTAGCATTACCATTGCTCCAACTGTCGCCCTCTTATTCTATGCATATCATGAGAATTATTCATTACACCTTTCAAAATAATCATAGTCATTAGTACTAGGAGTATCTTGATTTGCTGAACTGTATAGCCTGAAACGATTCACTGAATTTGTTCCACATTTGCAAGAACACTTATGGGTTAAGGTTTATCACTGTAAAATGGAAACTGCTGTGGCTCTTCTGTTAGTACTCATTTTAACTTCTAAGACCAAATATTCAAGAGTATCTTAGTGAGAGACAAATGGAGCAAATATGAAATATCTTCAACCAGGTTCAAGTCCTCGTGGACTCAAATTTAGGTTCCTATTTCTTAAACTGTGGCCTCTCCTACAGATTTTCATCCCCCCAAAAAATATTCAATCAAGCTATTAAGAAGTTTGCTAATAAGAATTATGTGTTACTGCTAGAGTTTTGACATTTAGCTGTATATTTTGAACATGTGGCATCTGAATTCTCAGGGAGGTTCATCAATGAAAGTTGTGGACTGCATACTCTGTCTCAAAGGATACCACGAGTGGAAACTTTCAGGTGGGATCGGTATATGGCGGTATGGAGCTATTGTTAAGATTGCACCTCCAAGCAAGAGGTTGCCTTCACATTCATCCAGGTTTGGAGGCTCAGCTGACCAGAACCAACAGATGCTGGAATTTGTTCATCTTCTCTCCGAGGTCTCCCTTGAGGAAACCAGAGTTGAAGAATCCCAGCATTCACTTTTCCAGCAGTTTGTTCTTCGAGTTGTGCGGGCATTCCTTCTGGAATGGAGTGAAGCTGACGACTTGCCTTTAGATGATATGGTAGGTATGTTCTGCTTATTCTTATACATTGTTGATCCCCTTTTAGTACTAGTTTAGCTGATCTCGTCACCAAACAATGCTGAACACCTGTGGACTAACTTATGCTGGTGGATTTTTTTCAGGTCCTTGAAACAATACTTGAGCAAGCCTCTAAAGAATTCACCATTCTGCTTGTGTCCCACCGGAATCAGGTGCAGTATCATATTTGTACTCCTTGGTGTATTTTCCTTATGATGATGTACACCACCAAATAGGCAACTAAAAACTAAAAACTCTGCACCAATGACTGAAACTTACTTTTTAAACATGTACCATCTAGCAGGTCAGATCACTTTTAAGGAAGATGATGAAAGATGAAAGTGGTGTCTGTTCTAAATTGGAGTTGATTGAAGCTATTTCAAAATCTTTGCAATGCCCCTATGGTAGCCAAAAATACTTGGATGGTGAAGGACTTGAACACCAACAAAAAGAGCTGAAGGTAGGGAATGATGTCCAATTTTGTACTGCTTAACTTGTTAGCTAGCAGTTTATCATGATCAATACCATGTAACCAACACCCTTTTTCTTAAGTACCTTATAAACTGCTAGCTGGTGAACTGTCAAGCTGCATGTTAAGTATTTGATGCCAAGTCCACATATTCCTTGCCAGTTTCCTTTTTTTAACATAAATAACAGTAAAAACAATAAAATTACCTACCAATTTTGTACTTATCTGATGAAAAATATCCTATTCAGGGTTAAAATATGCAGAATTAATTTGGACATCTATTTTATGGACATTGTCGCATTGTGCTAATTATCATTTTTCTTCTAAACATGAAATATTCAGAAGTTAAAACTGTCCTTCAATGAGATGAAGTCTCAAGTTGAATCTACTCGAGCTAAATGGGAGGAAGACTTGACGAGGCTAGGTGAGTAATGGTTTTAGAATTTTGTCAATCATCGTGCTCTTTGGTCTCTAAACGTTATTCAAATGTTGCAGAAAGCTATTTCGAGGCTCAGAACCATAATGCTTACCACAAGTTACTGGAGGAAAATCGTAAGTTGTACAATCAAGTCCAAGATCTTAGAGGTAAACCTAAAATGGATTCAGTTCATTTTATTTGCAGTAAAATAATAGTTACTGACAACTTCAAATATGTTTCTTAGGTAGCATTCGAGTCTACTGTAGAGTGAAACCTTTACCGAAGTCCCAACCTGATCAACGATCTACTGTGGATCATATTGGGGAAAACGGCGAGATCATGATTACGAACCCTGAGAAGGAAGGAAAGGATGGACGGAAGATATTCTCTTTCAACAAAATATTTGGACCTAATGTTTCACAATGTACATCGTCAAACTTCCTCATTTTGTTTCCCTTGTACCGCAAATCAATTGCATTCCCTCCAGTATTTTCCTAAAGAATAGTTGATGATTCACAAGAAAGTTATCCTTTTTTTTTGGTTATATAGTTATTTCAAAGATAGAATTACTTGTTTATTTTGCATAAAGCTTTACATGATAATAATTACAAGAATGATATGTTATTTTGGGAAACCGTAAAGTAATTTTGTAGGAGATGATGTACTTCTAATTGCAACTCTTAATGCTACGAGTTTACTCACTTTCATTTTCTTTCTAACAGCTGAAGTTTATGTTGATACACAACCACTTATAAGATCAGTGATGGATGGCTATAATGTTTGTATATTTGCATATGGTCAAACAGGATCGGGAAAAACCTACACTATGGTAATTTTTCACATTTATTTGCTTTTGAGTTCACACCATTAAATTTGTGAGACATGTCCAATCGACGTGCAATACTATAACGGAAGGAGTTGCATTAATAAAAACTACAACGAGGGGATAAAGATCTTTAATACTGAAGCAGTCCTATTGGAGGTTATTTGTCTTTTTATGACAATGTATTTGTTTTTTGCATATGTTACTCAGAGTGGTCCAGACAAAACAGCAGAGGAGACCTTGGGCGTAAACTACCGATCGCTAAATGATCTGTTTGATATTTCTCAAAACAGATCAGATACCACGACATATGATGTGAGGGTACAGATGATTGAAATATACAATGAACAAGTGAGAGATCTATTGATGGCTGATGGTGCAAACAAACGATATCCTTCCATGTTGGCAATGTGCATACCAAATATATCGCTTTATGCTTACTTTCCTTGCTTCGCTGTCAAAACTTTGGCTTCATAAAAATTCCTTCTGGATTTTTTCTTAACCGTACACACATTAGAGATCCGTAACAATTCTCACGTGAATGGACTCAACATCCCTGATGCCAATTTAGTGCCTGTGAAGTGCACAAAGGATGTTTTGGACCTGATGAAACTTGGCCACAGAAATCGGGCTGTTGGAGCGACTGCTCTTAATGAACGAAGTAGCCGCTCACACAGGTATTAATTATATTAAACTAGTATGATGAACTTTATCGTATAGTAAGGTTATACCCTAGTCCTTGCATCATTTGTATAGACCATATCTTTGAACATCTGTGACATAGCCATAATCACTGCATGTGGTAACTTTGCTTTCCTTTCTTCAGTGTGTTGACAGTTCATGTGCAAGGGAAGGAGATAATTTCTGGTTCAACTTTAAGAGGGTGCCTTCACCTGGTGGATCTCGCGGGAAGTGAGAGGGTGGACAAATCTGAGGCCGCCGGAGAACGACTGACTGAAGCCAAGCACATCAACAAATCACTATCGGCACTTGGTGATGTTATAGCGGCACTAGCCCAGAAGAGTTCACACGTTCCATACCGCAACAGCAAGCTAACACAAGTGCTGCAAGATGCCTTGGGTACACAAAACCTCTCACAAGATTTAAAACTTGTTTGGTCAAGAATGCCAACATTGCTGATCACAAAACCTCTCACAAGATTTAAAACTTGTTTGGTCAAGAATGCCAACATTGCTGATCATTTGTTTTGCTTGTGATACAGGCGGCCAGGCAAAGACGTTGATGTTTGTGCATGTGAATCCTGAAGCAGATTCTTTTGGTGAAACAATTAGCACTCTCAAGTTCGCCGAACGCGTGGCCACCATAGAACTTGGCGCGGCCCGTGTTAACAAGGAAGGTGCACAGGTCAAAGACCTCAAGGAAGAGGTACGTACGGCATTATGATTGTGTTGCTGAGTTGTGAAACGTAGCAGGCCTTGGAAGTTGGAACTTTGTTTTTGATCACTCATGATGCGACTTCTGCCTTTGTCAGATTGGTAAACTGAAATCGGCATTGGAAGATAAGGAACGTGAGGCAGCACAGCTGAGAGATGCCACGAACCGTATAACATCATCCGAGACAAGAAATGCAAGGGCGAGGTCGCCTCTTATTACCACCAGCTTGCGCTTCAAGCCTGAGGCTAGGCAGGATTCCAGCGTCGACACTTGCACAAGCGAGGTACTTAAATTGTTTCAAACATGGATTTTCATTCTCACAGAAGGAAATGGCCTGAATAAATATACCGCTTGTTCCATGTTTGCAGATCAGAAGCTCGTCGTCCGGAAAGCAGAGAAGGTTCCGGTCTCCACTGTCGGTGCGAGAGGTGGACGACAAGTCACCCGTGATCAGCAGGGAGCTATACTTCAGCTCACGCAAGTTCAAGACCCCGTCACCTCCGGTGAGAAGCTCGTTCTCCGCCGAGAGATCCGGTGGCACCGCGGCGAAAACCATGGAGAAGGCCGACAGCGTCATCGAATGCACGCCCACGCCGAGGGCCGAGCCCCCGGCAAAGGCATCGCAAGGCAGCCGGTCCAGGAACAACACGCCGGCGTCCATTCTGACGGAGCAGAGCCTGCGGAAATTCCGGGACTCGGAGGAGAACCGGAGCGCGAAGCCGACGGTTAGAGAGAGCGTCAGCGTGACCAAGAACAGGCCTGACAGCGCGACCAAGGCGCGGAGGGAGGAGCAGCAGCAGCAGCAGACGGCGAACGGCTGCGCGGACTCCGGGAGTAAGGTGGCGAGGTCGGAGGCCAGGGTGAGGAAAAACTGGTCCGATGTGGAGAACGAGCTGGCCAACGGCGAGCCCACCTTCCATCTCAGCCGGAAGTCGGCGAAGAAGCTCCCGCCGCCGGCGATTAGGCAGTCCCAGAGCATCGATCTCAGGTACGTACCAACGATTCTTGAGCTGGGTGTGTCACTTTGGCAATGCATCGGTGGCTTCATTTTGTTTGGGTGTTTGTTGTTGTCAGGGCGTCGGTCCGGGAGGTGGAGGCCGTGACGGAAGGGAAGGTTCGCCGGAACAGGCCGCCGTACGCAGAGAGGACCAACGTCCCCTTGCCGGAGACGCGCCGCAGCATGTCCCTGCCGCGCAGGAAGCTCGCGCCCGTGTGAAGCCTACCTAGCTTGGCTGGTTTGTTTAGCCATTCTTTGATTGTCGTGACGACGTCGGCGTGATGCCACAGTGTCCTGCGGTCCGGTCTGCAGGCTTCTACGGCTGGGTAGAAGCATGTGGATCCGTCGCATCGTTGCTTGCGTTCGTTCACGTGTTTGTTGATTGGTTTGTTCTCCACAGATCTCGCGTGCGTCCTTTGCACTTTGTAAAGTCTGGTGATCGCCATTATATTTCGTTACAGTGGCGACCAGAAATTGAACCCGGTGTTTGTTCCAAAGCAAAGATATCCGTAGAGGCCGGTTTGTTCGTTCGATTATGATATATTCAGGACCAGATAGGTCATGGAAGAAGAAGAAATGTTGAAATGCCAACGGGCGTATGTCTTTTCTAATTCACCCTATCCTAGTACTCATTTTGGAACGTCCAGCGCCACCAGTCACTGAATACAAACTTGGCAACCACTGAACAGAGTTGTGTGCACCTAATCTTTAAAAACTTACACTTATTAAGAGGAATAAGAGATGCCAGATTCTCTTCTGATATTCAGGACAGGTTCCAAAGCAAAGGTATCCGCGGTTCTCTTCCAGATGGGCCCTGAAAGAAGAAGAAAGGTTGAAATGCCAACAGACTTGTGTCTTCTCTAATTCACCCTATCCTAGTACCGTTTTATGAACGTCTAGTGATACCAAAGTCATTGAATACATTCTTGGCAACCATTGAATAGAGTTGCGTGCACCTAGGGCAAGTTCTTTTTTGGCCTTTTGGGGCTTCTAGAATAAGTAGCCCCCTACCCAGCTTATTCTAGAAACCCAGCCAAAAATATATTTTTAGAAGTCAACTAGTCAAGTCTTAATTAGTAGACTTCTAAAAAAATAAATTTGGTTGAGCTTCTGAAATAAGTTGGATAGGGGTAGCTTATTTCAGCTTTATTCTAGAGGCTAACAAAAGACCTGACCCAAAAACTTACATTCATTAAGATGAATAAGAGGTACCGAATTCTCTTATGATATTCAGGACCGGTTTCAAAGCAAAGGTATCTGCAGAGGCATGTTTGTTTGTTCTATTCTGATACTCAAGACCAAGAGGTACTAGATTCTCTTTTAGACGGTCCCGAAAGAAGAAGCAAGGTTGAAGTGCCACGGAACTATGTCTTTTCTAATTCACCTGATCATAATACTCGTTTTTGGAACATCCAATGCCGCCAAAGTCACTGAATACATCCTTGGCAACCATTGAACAGAGCTGCGTGCACCTAATCTTTAAAAAAAACTTATGTTCATTAAGAGGAATAAAGTTGTTTTAAAATAAAGTTCTTACAGTTATCAGGCTGGAACACCACTAACTAAAACCATCAGATGTAGCACGATAACAAATTAGAGCATCTCCAAGAGGTTTCAGAAAAGAAAAATCTAATAAGTGGTTATTGGGGCTCTTCCAATAATTCTATTAAGGCCCGGGGGTGTGGTGCTTTCTCATATCCCCACTAATTCTTCATAGAATATCCAACCTGACCTCTCTACACTTGGCAGTGACGATGAGCGGGCGGCGATGTCAAATTTCCATATATATTGGAAGAGATAGAGGGTTATTGGGACGCTCCAATAATTTTTTTGATAAAATGATTTATTGGAAGAGATCATTTTTTCTAGATATTGGATGAGATGGAAGGATTTATTGGGACGCTCCATGAAGCACTTTTTTTTGCCCAACTACCAATATCAAATTTTATTAGGGAAAGGGAATCCATTGAAGCACTTTTTGGCCAACTACCCCAATAATAGAATCTTTATTGCAGAAAGGGGTCTCTTGGAGCTTAGCAATTTTCCGAGCCACCTTGTTAGCCTTCCTTTAGCTATGATATTCGTAGGACTGCTGTAAGGGCATATTTCACCCCATATAGTTTTGCTGATTGATGACAATACTTTTGCGGACTAATCGTATGCTTTGAGCATTTCAGATGTTTAGGCACAAGACGATTTGTTGCCCCTTGAAGCCTAGTGAAGACGACGTTTCTCTACGTTTCTTTTCGGTGGATTTGAGTCGTAGGAAAGCCCTACTATTAAGAGGGGGTCCGCTTTGGAAAGGTTAGGGTGGAATCATCACATACACGTCTGTTCCTTTGCACCACCTTTCCTTTGCATCTTTGGAGCTCCGATCGTTTATCCATGTCTCTGCAAAATAAAGGCCTCCTAGTGTTATTGAGTTGTGGCATGCGGTAGTACTGCTCAAGGGAGCAGTAGCACTGCAGAGGCCCACGGTAGGACCGGCCAGTCGTGCGGTAGTACCGCAGGTCCTTGCGGTAGTACCGCTCCGTGGGCGCGGTAGTACCGGGGCCTCTGGCCCAACACAGCAACACGAGCGGATGTAATTTTTTATATCCGCGCCCTACGCGATAGTACCGCTCCGTGTATGCGGTAGTACCATGTCAGATTTTTGCACAGATCGAAACTCAGTGGAAGTAGCCATGGATGTATTTTTCTTCGTCCGTGCCTTCCCGGCCCAGACCAACCATGCCTTGCGGTAGTACCACAAGGGCGAGCGGTAGTACCGCTCCGGCGGTTCTACCGCTCCTTGCTTCAACGCAACAGGGCTAGTCTGGCTCCTGTCGCGCAAGCGGTAGTACCGCAGGCCCTTGCAGTAGTACCACATGTCTGGTGCAGTAGTACCGCATGTCGCGAGCTGGATAAGTGGATAACGGTTGGATTTGTCCCTCGACTATAAAAGGGGAGTCTTCTTCTCCGAGTTGACCACCTTTTCCATCCCTAAGCTTCATTGTTGCTCTAAGCTCCATTTTTGCCCGATCTCTCTCCCTAGCCAATCAAACTTGTTGATTCTCTAGGGATTGGTTGAGAAGGCCTCGATCTACACTTCCACCAAGAGAAATTTGATTCCCCCCACTAATCCCTTGCGGATCTTGTTACTCTTGGCTATTTGAGAACCCTAGACGGTTGAGGTCACCCCGGAGCCATAGTCCATTTTGTGAAGCTTCGTGGTGTCGTTGGGAGCCTCCAATTAAGTTGTGGAGATTGCCCCAACCTTGTTTGTAAAGGTTCAGTCACCGCCTCCAAGGGCACCAATAGTGGAATCATGGCATCTTGCGTTGTGTGAGGGCGTGAGGAGAATACGGTGGCCCTAGTGGCTTCTTGGGGAGCATTGTGCCTCCACACCGCTCCAACGGAGACGTACTTCCCCTTTAAGGGAAGGAACTTCAACAACACATCCTCGTCTCCATCGGTTCCACTTTTGGTTATCTCTCACCTTTACTTGTGCAAGCTATATTGTGTTATATCCCTTGCTTGCTTGTGAGCTTATTGTTGTTGCATCATATAGGTTGCTCACCTAGTTGCATATCTAGACAACCTACTTTGATGCAAAGTTTAATTTGGTAAAGAAAAGCTAAAAAATGTTAGTTGCCTATTCACCCCCCCCCTCTAATCAACTATATCGATCCTTTCAATTGGTATCAGAGCCTCGTCTCTTTATTAAGGACTTTGCCATCCTAAGAGTATGGTTGATACCATAGACGGTGAGGAGGAGCACCCCGGTGTGAATCCTTCTTCGTCTACGGCCGATGGGGGATCCCCGGTCTCACGTGAGGAATTCAATGCGGCTTTGGACACACTGAAAACCTCCATGATGACCGAGGTCAAAGGCATGTTCAAGGAGTTTCTTGATGGTCTTAAGTTATCCACCGCACTGTTGGAGGTGGTCGCTCCCACTAACAAGGTGGCGGATGCTAACTCCAATAAGGGGGAAGATTCTAGTGATAAAGTTCCTTTATCTAGTGGTAGAAATGGTAGCGGCATCTTTGCCCATGTTGAACCTCCACTTACTTATGGAGGACTGGTTCCCTCCACTCATTTGAATCATGTTGGTCCTCCTCCTAAGATTGTGAAAAATGAGGATTTTGACTCTTGGGTCTATCAATTTAAACGTCATTTAAATCATGTTAATACTAATCTTTGGAGAATCATTGAGCAAGGTTTCTATCCGCATGACCCAAGCAACTTCACCCCTAGAGAAGCCGCGGACCATCAATTCAACGAGAATGCTCTCTTCATCATCCAAGATGCAATTCCATCCGAAGATATTGCGCATCTCCGACCTTTCACCGTGGCCAAGGAAGCATGGCACCATGTTGTTTCCATATACAAGGGAAGCACAAGCATTCAACGCTCCAACTATGAAGTGGTGCAAGATGAAGCCGATGAGTTTGCAATGAATGAAGATGAAGAACCTCGTGAGCTTTACCGGAGATTAACCACTCTCGCAGTCTGACTCCGAGATCATGGGAGCAAGGATACGGAGGACAATTGGATCAAGCGCAAGTTCCTCAAGGCCATGATGCCTTACCATAAGGCCATGTCCTCCGTCATCCGTCAAAGGCTGGACTTCCACACATTGTCCTCAAGTGAAGTGTTGGATGAGTTTGTGGCCATGAGGATCTTGGACAAGACCACCGACAATGCGGTGTTGCGTTCTCAAAGAGCAAAGAAGACCAACCTTGCCTTGAAGGCCAAGGCTAGTGTGGAAGAATAGGATGAAGAGGAAGATGAGGAGGGCAACCCCGAAGATATGAAATATGATTACCATGAGCACATGGCTCTCGCTTCAAGGCAATTTTGGAGCAAGAAGAACTCAAGGCCCAATTTCAACAAGACCAACTCAAGTGGAGTCAAGGGAAAGCAACATGTGAGGACATGTTACAATTGTGGCAATGTGAGCCACTTTGTTGCAGAGTGCCCTTACGAGAAGCGGGAAGACAATGGTGGCAAGCTCATCCGAAAAGACAAAACCAAGTCCTTCCCCAACAAGAAAAACTTCACCAAGAAGACTCCTCAAAAGGGGTTGATGAGGGAGCCCTGGATTAAGGGGTCCTCGGGCGTCCGGCCTGTTGACATGGGCCAGACTGATGGGCTGTGAAGATACAAGACCGAAGACTCTCACCTATGTCCGGATGGGACTCTCCATGGCGTGGAAGGCAAGCTTGGCGCCCAGA